CCGCTGTACCTTTCCTTGCTCTGAAATGACAATTGTAGTGAAGCTGGGACTTTGCGTTAGGCGCTCCAGTCTTGAGATGTGGAAGAGATCTTCCCTAATACCTGAAGGTCCAACTTGTAGTGAATCTGGACATGTAGCAAAGGCATCTTCTTGTGCCAAAACTACAAGATGCTGAGAGGATTCAGTGAGACATCCACTGGTCCAAAACTGGTGCTAGGGCCAGGCAAGATGATATCAAACAATACCATTGTAGAAGATTCCTTCTTTGGGACAGAAAAGCCACTCAGACCAGCCAGCTCCCCAGACTAGACTTAAAGCCTCTAAGAGCTGTAGACTTCTGTGCCAGGACCATGGGTCTGACACTGAGCGTGAGGGCTGCAGTTTCTTGTCTACCTTTTCTTGGCATCTTGGGTTCCTACCAGCAAGATGGTGGGGGTTGCAGTTTGTGTTGCTGTTATCTGGGTTGCCTTTCTGACTCAGTGCTGTGTAGAGCTCTGCCACTTCCCGGCTGGTTTCTGTTCTCCCTCCCCCTCCTCAAATACAGATTTTCCTTTGTTCCACACCAAGCCCCTCTATTTTACCATCCTGGTTGCACTTTGTCTAGTTTTTCTTCTAAAAATACTGTATTTGTTTATTCTCAATTTGTGATTCAGAGATTAAATAAATTGTAAACTTAGTTTACATCTTAGATTCTTTTATCTTCCATGAGAAAATATGAAACATGAGGGCCAATTTAGCTTTATTGAAAGGAGAGCTTCAGATTTGTCATCTCATGTTCCATAGTATGCCTTGTTACGTCACAAACTCAAGGTACGTCTCTATGTTCTCTGGTTTTAGGGTTGGGTGTGATATGTGTAGCCTGCTGAACTCATTAAAATCAAAATGTCTTCACGTATTTGAAAGAAGTTAGAAATACAACTAGATACGTTGTAGACTTTGATGCTTCTGTACCCAATGTCCTCATGAGAATTGTCTGGTCTTTTTTATAGTGCATTCAAATAAGCGATTGGTTATTAAAAACAGCTGAGTATCCCCCCCTTTGTCCGCTTTCTCTGCAGAAACCTTGAGTTTCTTTTCTCTTGAGTTGTACTGGTTATATGCAGCTATAAGTGGTTGGGTGACATGATGTTTACTTAACATCATGTCCTACTTCACTTTTCATTGCTGTGATAAACACCATGACCAAAAGTGACTTGAGGAAGACGGTTTCTTTCAGCTTACAGCATCATCAGGGGGAGTCGGTACAAGGAGTCAGGAACTAAAGCAGAGGCCATGAAGGCCTGCTGCTTACTGACTTGCTCCCCATGCCTTACTCAGTCTGCTTTCTCATAAAACCAAGGACCACAGTGGGATGAGCCGTGGCACATCTGTCTTCAGTCACAAGAGCACCCACGGGCCTGCCTAGAGGCAATCTGACAGAAGCATTCTCAACTTCACAGATGACAAAGAGCTACACAGCAAATGTTTCACCAGAAATTAGTCATGATAATAACAATACAAGACCTTTATTGACCTCACTGACCACTTAGTTCTTGGTGTGGTCGTAAGCACGAATGGGCAAAACCACAGACTTTCTTCTCAGCTTCTAATTAGAGACTGTTTTGACCATTTACTTGGTACTCTTGGGTTACATAGTGAGCAGAGTGATGAAAAATATCCTGAGTAGCAAGGAAGAGCCTAACAAATGTGTTATTTTGCTAAGCACTTCAGCATGTAAGAAAAGAATGATTTTCTTAAGACTAATGAAGTCAGAGCCCACCTTCAGTAATGACTGCAACTTTGGGGGGGATAACGTTTGAGATGGAGTCATAGATTTGATTCGGTCACTTAGCCCCAAAGTTACCTTCTGGTTATTTGTTCTGGAAATCCATTCAGGGTGCAGGGGGAGACTGGCCATGCCCCTGCTGCTTGGAGCAGCAGGAAGTAGCACCTGGCAGGAGTCAGAAGCTCCACCCCCAGGGGTGAGTGGAGCCATGCCACCCTTTTCATCCCTTTCATTTCAGCTCAGGAAATGAATCAGGCTCTGCTTTTATTTGCAAATCATTTCCAGAGACTCCTACACAAGTAAGCAAGTAGCAGCACCCACCCCCACCCCCACCCACACTGTCTCCTTGCCCGGGTCTTTGAAATCACTGACACTAAAGTTGTTTAGGTCTAAAACCTCCATCTCTTCTATCTTCACTGAAAACAACTTTAGCTGGATGGGTATGACCCAGAAACTTGGTTTTGGGTACTGTTTTCACTGGTCTGTTGGTATGGGTGTGTCCTGCTTGTGAGGAGGCCTGCAGTGGTCACTATACTCCTTGAAGCAAAATGTCAAATAACAGAGTACTAAGCAAGTTTCTCACTTTTTTTCAAGGAAGGAAGCAGGAATTTGGGAGTGTATTCCTGCTTATCAGAAATGAAGTCACAGAACACTGGAGTTAAAATAAATGTGTCATTTAGTCTTTCTTTCTTCAATTATTCAGGATAAAACTGAGGCCCAAAGGATGAACTATCCCCAAGCTGATACTGTAAATCAAAGAGAAAATTACTATCTTTGAAAAAATTTAGTTCGCACTCAGTTTTTACAGAGTACATCTGTGAAATTTTTAGCATAAAAGCCTAAATCACTGAAAAAATTCTGTCTCTCCTCTCTGTATTTCATACTCACGTACATTATCTCTCTTCTATTTAGGGGAACAAAACCTCTCCAGTGTGAAAAGCGCATTATGCAGCCTCCAGAGCAGAACAGCTATTTCAAACTATTGCAGATGCTGTTTCTGAATCTTAGAAGCAGTAACCTCTGTTCCTTTAAAACTTAAAAAGTGCTACTGGAGCAATATATTGTTTAAATGTACAGAAAAAATATCTTTGCAGATGGTGGGACTTTTCAGAGTAATGTTCTCACAGTGGCATTTCTCTGAAAGCTCAAACAGGATGGTGTATATCTGTAGCTTTTGTAAAAGGCTGTCCGTCATGCATGCACTTGAAGTACATGTCCGTCATGAATGCAGTTGAAATACATGTCCTTCATGCATGCACTTGAAATACATGTCCATCATGCATGCACTTGGAATACATGTCCATCATGCATGCACTTGGAATACATGTCCGTCATGCATGCACTTGGAATACATGTCCTCCATGCATGCACTTGAAGTACATGTCCTTCATACATGCACTTGGAATACATGTCCTTCATCTGTGCACTTGAAATCCCAGCTCTGAGGAAGCAGAAACAAATGGTTTCCCTAGAGTTTACTACCCAGCCAACCTCACATACTACTTATCTCCGGAGCAATGAGATTATTTCAGAAAACAAGGCTGGTGGTTCCTGAGGAGTGACACCTGAAGTTGGCCTCTGAATGCCACACTCACAGGTACACCCTCATGCACAAGCACACACACACACACACAAACACCTGCACACAAACATGAGCCCATGCACTCATGTACACCCACACATTCATGTACCCAAAAGCATTCACACAAGTTAAAGAAAAAAAGAAAAGTGTTTATTGTTAAGAATTCAAATCTAAAAGTTCTGAGTAACAAATAATTCTGTGATCTTAAGGCTCAAGTACTGTTAAACTTTCTTGAGATAAAGCCTAAGCTTGATATGAATTTTTATATATTGGTTCTTGGGCTAAATCAGTCTGCATGCATAACTGTTGGGGAAGTCTTATGTCAATAAAGCACTGTTGAGCCAATAGGGAACCAAGATAGGAGGGACTAGGAGTCCAGAAGGACTCTGGGTAGGAGAAAGATGGAGAGTCGAGATGTAACGCCATGGGGTAGGAAGCCCGGAAACTTCTCCGGTAAGAGACATACTTAGATTAACAATTATGGGGTAATTACTTAAATCAGAGCTAGCCAGTAAGAAACAAGTAAGGCCAACAGCTTTATAATTAATATAGCCTCCTGTATGTTTATTTGGGACTGATGCGGCTCTAGAACCAGGCTGGCGGGAAGGCTTCTATCAAGGAAAAAGCTTCTCTTTACACATAACCATTCTGTAGTTGTTCTAAATTTCTGTCCACTGTCTACAGCAAAGACAGTGGACAGAAACCCCAGTCTCACTAGGAAGACACTGATGTATGTGTTATCGGTGCAGTAAGACAGAGGTGGTACAGGGGAAGCTTTGTTATGCCTCTTAGTATAAACTTGATAATAAATAGTAAAATCACTTAGGAAACTAAAAACTATTAGAATATGTGTTTTGTAGTAATAATATATTGCTTCTTGGAGTAGTGTAATTTATCCTAAGAGCTTAGCTTATTTAACTCCTAAAACTAGTCTGCAGAGGCAGTTGTATCATATTAAAATTCTTTTTTACATCCAGAGAAGGCTAGAAAGCCATGATTTGTCAGTGTTCCTCTCCTGCTCTTTAAACTGTGCAGCAATGCTCTTTCCTCCTAGCCTCTGACCCTCATGTTCGGTTAGAACAGTACAAGGTGAGAACACTCCTAAAAGTGCTCTTCAAGAATACAACTGAGAAAATGATCTAATAATTGGGCTCATTTTGATAATGACTAAGCATATAAATAATTTCTCTTTGGCTCACCATACTTTCAGTCAAGTTAATCTGATAGTTATTTGTTTTTTCTTCTTGTTGCTTGTTTGTTTTACTGGGAATGGAACCCAGGCCTCATGCATTCAGGGCAAATGCTTTTCCACTGGGCTACATCACACAAGTTTTCAAAAGCAATGGTGATGTTCAATTAATTTGTTTGATTGAATTTATTGCATTATTGTGGGGGCAGGTAATAATTCTTCTGTCTAGTAAATAACACAGAGAATGAGCCAGTGTCCTTGGTGTCAATTAGCTGTGTACCATACTGAGACAAGTGTCCCAGGTTGACAGTCTGATGTCTATTTAGTAAGAAGCACAGTTACACTATAGATTGCCAGAATGAGTTCCAGTCCTCTTCTCCTTGGTCTGTACTGATAGTATAGAATGCCTGAAGTTTGTCTCTGTAAAACTGTCAATATTTTTGTTCCTTGTACTTTTTTTTCAGTCAAGAGAATCCATCACTTTAAGTGACCTAAAATCAGAAGTATCACCCCGGATTTCGGCAGAGGACTTGATTGATTTGTGTGAGCTCACCGTGACAGGCCACTTCAAGACCCCCACCAAGAAAACAAAGTCCAGTAAGCCAAAGCTCCTGGTGGTCGACATCAGAAACAGTGAAGAGTATCCTTGCCTAGTGCTTTGAAAGGGTGGATTTGCACTACTCCTGTGTCTTCCTTTCCTTGTACAGGGGCTGTGGTGAGAGCAGTCAACATTTCTGGGATGCCTCTAGACTTGAATAGCTAAGTAACTCTGAAACTGCATGCAGTGGGCCTTGCACAGTAAGAACTAGACCAAAGGTACAAAACTTTTTTCCAAACATTAGGGTGTGTACAGTGGGGTGTGTGTGTGTGTGTGTGTGTGTGTGTGTGTGTGTGTGTGTGTGTGTGTGTGTGTGTGTGTTTCTCTGATATGCATTGAGGCTCTATATATCATTTGGATTCTTCTAAAAAGCAATGCTGGGAACCAAAGCCAGACTGGCTGTCTTAGGAAGCGCTCTACTACTGATCTATGTATGTAACCCCCACACGTTTTCTTCTAATATTTGTTTTCCTTCTGTGTATATGAGTGTTTAGATTGAAATTTGAGCAAAGACAAAGTATGTATATAACAAAGGGACCAGATTTCAACATTGAATTTATATTTACTAAAATGGTAAAAACATTGGCTTATAGAGAACATGTGCTTAAATAGAACACAAATGTTTTTTTAAAGATTTTACTATTACTGTAATTTACTCTGTGATTTTTTTGGGCATTAAGGTATGAGACATTATGAATATATGAATTTTTCCATATGTTTTCATATTGTCAGAATCCCATGATATATACACTGATTTTTCCCTAGTGTCTAGCTAGATAGTTATCCTACCTTCTTATAAAAAAATCCTGGGGCCTGATGGTAGGGGTGCATGCCTTTAGTCCCAGCGCTTGGGAGGCAGAGGCAGGCAGATGTCTGTGAGTTTGAGACTAGCCTGATCTACAAGAACTAGTTCTAGGACAGCCTCCAGAGCCACAGAGAAACCCTGTCTTGAAAAACCAAAAAGCAAAAAAAAAAAAAACCCGACCATACTGATCATTGACTGTCCTATGATGCTTTCTACCACTGATCTACACATGTAACCTTCATACTTTTATTTCTGTCATGGTTCCACTGGGGCTCGAACCCAGGACCTTCTGCATGTAAAGCAAATATGATAACCGCTACACTATGAACCCATGCTCATACTTTTATTTTTAATATTTATTTTCATTTTGTGTGTATGATCTTTTTTTCTGATTATATGTAAGTGGGTCTAAAGTTGCAGGGAACCAAACCCAGGCCTACTAGAAGAGTACCCAATGTTCTTAACTTTTGAGGCACTCTCCAGTCCCCATACTTTTTCTTGACAGACCAATCCCTTCCCCAACAGAATTTTTCTTTTAACAAAAGTGTATGGAATATAAATCATTTTGTAAGTTTTTTTCCTTTCTTGTAAGAAGTCTTGCATTGTATTTTTTTTATTAATTTTACATACCAACCACAGTTTCCCCCCCCCCACTCTTCCTCCTGCCCCTCCCCAGTCACTCCTCAGAAAGGATAGGGCTTCCCATGGGAGTCAACAAAGCCTGGCACATTCAGATAGGACCAAGAGCACTGCACCTCCCCTCCCTCCCCCTCCCCACCCTGCATCACGAGTGGGCAAAGCATCCCACCATAGGGAATGAGCTCCAAAACTCCAGCTCATGCACCAGGAATAGATCCTGGTCCCACTTCCTGGAGTCCCTCAAACCAGTCAAGCTATACAACTGTAGTCCTCATGCAGAGGGCCTATAGTTCAGTCCCATGGAGGCTCCACAGCTGTCTGTCTAGTGTTCATGAACTCTCAGGCGCTTGGTTCAGCTGTCTCTGTAGGGTTCCCCATCTTGATCTTGACCCCTCTTTCTCATATAATCCCTTTAAATTTTATAGCATGTAGAAAGAATAAAAGCAATAAATTAGGGATAGCCTACTGGTGGAATCATTCATGCCAAAATCTGCATATTTTCATGTGCATATCTTCAGTCTTGGTTTTTTAAATGAAACTCAAACCATGCTTTCTCATAATTTAAAAAGCAGTGTGAAAATCTTAGATGACTTACAGTAAAATTTGAAAGCTCACAATTTCAGATATAACTCAATTTTTATTTGTTTTACTTCATCTTTTTTTTCTTTTTTTATTACTTTTTTTTTTATTTTAATTTTAAATAGCTTGTTTTACATGTCAATCCCAGTTCCCTCTCCCTCCCCTCCTCCCGCACTCCCCTTCCACCCTCCCTCCCACCCTATTGCCAAATCCTTCCACATAGGGGATGTCTAGAGTCTAGACACTCCCCTAAGAGTCCAGGCTGAGAGAGCATCTCTCTTTGTGCTATAGGCACATGAAGACAGATTGTATACCAGGAATAGACACTGATCCACAGCTCAGAGCCCCATAGGTTGTCCAGGCCTTCTCACTGACACTCACATTTGGGGGGGTCCAGATCAGTCCCATTCTGGCCTCCCCACTGTCGGTCTGGGGTCCAAGAGCACTCCCCTGTCCAGATCAGCTGTCTCTGCTGGTTTTGCCAGCCCATTCTTTGCCAATTTGCTCATCATTCCTCTCTCTCTGTCACTGGGTTCCTTGGGTTCAGTTCAGTGCTTAGTTGTGTGTTTGCCTCTGCTTCCATCAGTCCCAGGATGAAGGCTCCCGGATAGTTATAGACATCAAGTTCATTATCAGGAATGGGCATTCGAGGTGGTCCTTCCACTATTGCTTAGCTTGCCAATTGATGTTATACCTTTAATTACTTCATCTTTTTAAAACATGCGCTCACTTGTTAGTATTTACTGTCTTGCAACTCACTCTGTAGACCAGGCTGGCCTTGACTCACAGAGATCTACCTGCCTCTGCCTCCTGAGTGCTGGAAGGAAAAGTACATGCCACCACACATGTCCGATAACTCAATCTTCTTTCGAAATGTTCATTTTATTTTCTCCAAGCTATAGGAACCCTGAGTTACAGAAGGTAAAAACAATAGTTTTGAAGGCTTCTGTATTATGGAAAGTTCCTCATGGGAGTGGGTATGTAGATTCTCAAACAAGGAATAAATTCTACTTGGCTAGCCATGGACCCCTTTTCTAGAAGTTCTGATCTGATGCTTCAAGAATTTGAAATCATGAAGAATGGAGTGCTGTTCTAAGATACCCTTTGGCTGAGGTGTCTAAACTACCTATTGCCTTTCAACCTAGAAAACAGGTTTTAAAAATAATCCATATTGTGAACTGAGTCCTACTTGGAAGTAATTAAAGGCAAGGGGTTTACATAGTGATGAAGGTATGCACAAGTTTAGTGCTCAGAATCATGTTAGAATGGGAGATTTAATTTTAGATGTCATCACCATTAATAACAGATAGGAAATTGCTATTTAATTGTAAGACTGTTCATAATGTTTAAAAGATATAAAGTAAGATATTTGCTAGGAATATGAAACATCAAAAAGTAAGAGCAAATGAAAGAAACAAACTCACTATCAAGAGAACATAACCTCAGGCTAAGACAAGACAGAGACTAGGGTCCCTTTAATTTTTGTAGCCCAGCCCAAGGCTTAGTATTTAGAAAGTGCCCAGAAGATATTTATAGACACAAAGGGCAGGATGGCCGAGTCCAGAGCCCCACTGCCTCCCCCAAACCTTTCGAAGTTAAAAAAAATTCAGACAGTTGGCAGTGTATGAGCCTCGTACATTCTAAAGTAAATCCCACTCTCTTCCCCATTTAAAGCCAAGCTAGTACTCAATGAGAATTTCAAACCAAACTCATTTCCTCACCCAACAGTCATTCATTAGGCAAATATTGTATTGTCTTTTTATGTCAATCAGATAACCAGATATGAGAAAGCTATTTTTAATCAAAATGTCAATCCTTGCGTTAATGGCAATTGCATTTCGATTGGAAAGATAAAAAGTATCTAGAAACTGAGTTTCACATAGCAGTTAGTGGTGTTGTAAGTAAATAGGGTCTGATAGAGTTTTGATGGACTAGTAGGATGTGCAGGAACAGGACACTGTTTGGGGTGGGGGGGTTGGGACAGAGCTTCCTGGAACTTGCTGTGTGTAAACCAGACTAACCGTGTAGCCCCAGGCCGGCCTAGCACTAAAACTGCCTCGACTTTCCTATTCTGGGATCCCACAATGTCTGCTTTCTGCTTTGTTTTATAAGCCAGTTAAGTGAGAGATTATCTGACAAAAGTCTTATGACTCCAAATGGATAAACATTTTTCCTCATTTGTGTTTAAGGGATAATACATTTCTAAAATTAATTTTAATCTCATCTTTTTCCCTATGTAAAATAATGAGACACTTGGATGTGAAGGCAGGGAGACACTCTTAAGCAAATGAACTGTGTGCCAGTAGATTAAGGAGCTGCCTTCCCAAACCACCTAGGACTGCTGTCTGGGAGTCCATGGAAGCTGCAGTCACAGCTATTGTCTGTGTTTCGGTTGCATGTAAAGAGAAGTGCATTAGCAAGCCAGCATCACCTGCCCCCTGCCTGTGTCTGAGGATGGCAAAGAGAGCTGAAGGCTGTAGCCAGACTGCCCACACTGGGCAGTAAAGCACACCCCCAGACACTTAGAACACCCACTAAAGCCTTGACGTCACTCTGCTGAAATAATGCTTTACTTCTGTCTGTTTCTGTAAGAAAGAAACATGAAATGTTTCTAGGTAAAGCTGTTTTTCAATAGATCCATGGGAATTCTGGAGAAAGGCAATAGAAAATGTTTCTCGTGTAGTGCATAGACTTTATGAGTGATGTTAATGGCTTCAAAGGTAATGCCCAGCCCAATTGTTGATTTGGCAGCTATAAATATTTAGAGTTTCAAATTTCCCAGAGTTCATATTAGAGGTGGCCTTAGTCATGCAAATGTGGGTCCAACTGATGTTATCTGTAAACAGAAATACTTTTAAGGCAATGTTAATCTCATCTGCTTCAAGTAAAGGCTGAGTTCTACAGCTTTATTCCTAAAGCTCTCAGGAAAGAAGGGGGAAAGGAAGGAGGGAGGAAAAGATAGAAGAAGAATAGGAAATACAACTTCAGGCTTACACTTATTCTAAGACCAACCCCAACT